GAGTGGTCTGGAGGGGACAGAGATGAAGAATCAGAAATGGACGGTTTGGAAAGGAGGCTCTAAAAGGTGACAGCACTGGACTTCAAGTCCATTTCTGTACAATATCCCAACCCAGTCAGAACAAATGTAACTCACCACTGCTGGTGAATGTTACCTTAACCACGCAGCGACCCCCTAAATGTCATCTATCGTTCTTCTATCTAAATGGGATTTCTTATCATTAAATTGGTCTTCTGACCCAAAGCTCATCAGAGCAGAGCGCCTCCTGCCTGCTGGCTACAACTGGCCACTTTCCCATTCTTCTCTGTGCTTTATGTGGTAACCATAGCTTTATGGTAATTTGTTATTATGCAGTGTTTGCAGTGGGCCAATATATCTCTGATACATACAGTATCTCTGGCTGTGTCATTTTCCCATCACAGTTTCACTGTGCATCTAGTTTCTACTATATCATCCTGATTTAACCTGATCAACGCGACGCCCAGCGTTTTATACACACACATCTGCATAAAGAACTCATTGGTCGAGTTTATCATCTTTTACGCGATAATCTCTAGATTATCTCTGATAATAATCTGAAGTACGGACGTTTAATCTGAGGAAGTGGACAAATCTGTGATCAAGGAAACTGCAAATGATATTTAATAACTCCACAATATATCAAAAAAAATAGTAGATATAGATTATAGACTTAAATGCTAAATGCTAATTTCTCCCCAGGACTGTGTGAGTGTGTGTGTGTGTGTGTGTGTGTGTGTAGCCTGGAGAGAAAGCAGAGCAGCTGATCAACATCATGATAACAAATAACTTTGTGACTTTCCTTCAGAGGTCAACATTTGAAAACACTCCGGTCTCTGTGTGTGTGTGAGAACATGTGACTACAGTATATACACTGAAGCATGTTCCAAACACACCGTGTCAAGTGTCAGTAACCGGCAGCTACGCCTGAGAAGCTGTATTGAAGCATGTTCCAAACACACCGTGTCAATGTGCTACGCCTGAGAAGCTGTATATGCATCCCTGCAGCACAATAACTTCTACCCAGACTCCCCAGCAGCAGTAGCACTTTACTTGAGTGTGTTTCATATCTCCTTGGTGCAGTCCAGTTTCCCATGCCGTAGCACTTCAGGCTCAGCTCTGATTGATTGTCTGTTAAACTGCTGGTGTCTGAGGGACAGTCTGCCAGGAAGTTTACGGAGTGATTGATGCCACAGCGTGCAGAAAAGGGAGAATTCCCCTGCACCGCGGAGGAAAGAAAAATCAAGGTAATTAGAAGAGATGTGAGATGTAAAAATCAAGGAACTCTCACTCCTGCAAACATCCCACGACTCCTGGCAGTCGAGGAGGAAACATTTCCAATGCCCATATTTCACATGTCCGATCTCCGTCTTTAACACAAACACATGCACACGAACACTATGTTATCTGCCAAAAGAGCTAGAAAGCAAGTTTTATGAGTAATTGTGCACACCTACACAGGCTGTCAGAAAGTACAGGAAATAAGAGCCGCGGTAGAAGTGATAGGAGGGATATAAATAAACCATAAAGAACTCCGGGCTGGATGGACGTCTACTTCATAAAATATTGATCAGTGATTACCAGTAAAAAAAAATTTTTCATTTTCATCAACATTTTATTGTTATGATTCCTGGTACATAAACACATCCTGATACCCAAGGTTTTGATCTCTATGATATTTTTTGTAAAAGCACAGACTTCTGTTACTGTCCCAGTGTTTTTACATTCATGTTTAATATCAACAGTGTGAATTAAAGTGGGCAGAAATGGAAGTATAAAAATAACAAACAGAAAAGATGTGCTATATCCTGCCATCTTTATTTTTATGATGTGAACGACTCACAAAATAAAAAGCCTAGAACACAACTTGAAAACAGCAGAAAGAAAATTTAGAGTCAGTACCGGAGGGAGAAAATACAATGAAAATTAATTTACAGCCCAGACTTAAAGAGTGGTGAGTATGATTTTCCATGTACAGTGATGCAACTGTTGGGAACGCAGTTGGTCGGAATGACTGGAAAAACATTGTAGCGCTTTGACCGGAGGTTCCACCTCATTACAGGTAGAATTAAATGTTTTCATGCACTTAATAAATAAATGCAAAAGGAAGTTCGGTTGTGCGCAGTTGATCCTAACGTGTAATCAGGACGAAAAACGAGTCGAAGTGATCGGTGTCTTACAGTGAGAAGATCAGAGAATCGACCTCCGAGGTAACAGATGTCCATGGACTGGAGAACAGTCCAGGATGCTTAGTGAACGCACAATAAAATCAGATGATGTTTTAACTAAATCCATCTGTAAAACAACTAAATCCACATTTAACTAAATCCATCTGTAAAACAACTGAATCCACAAAAGACGTCTTTCACAAACCAGTGATAGAGAGTTCCATGGTATAAACCAGGTCACTGATGGTGAAAGTCTTACAAACGCTGGTACATTTTTGGGACATCGGTGTAAAAAGCCAAACAACCATGAACACACTCCTGCTGGATGGGCCGGTCCATGAATACACAGGTCCAGAAATGTTCAGTGTCTGCTGGAGGTGACCACAGGACGGCCCGCATCATCTGGGCTGCAATCTAATCTGGTCAATCTGCCAACAGGACCCCGTCCACTCTGAAGGGGTCTGTGCCCTCCTCCCCACTCTTCAGAGTGGATGAGTGTCAACACAGGTGTATGGCTCAGTCAGTCTGGGTGCACGATCACCCAAACTGTTTTCCCTCCACAGCTTTTTTTAGATTTAGGGAGTGGGGGGAGGGGGGGGCTCTTTCTTGCACGACTGACCAATCAGTCAAAATTCCGTGTTTTGGCTGTAAAACAGCGGTTGGCAGAGTCCCACCACTGGACAGCACGGTCAATAACGCAGAGTCAGGTGCAGACAACCCGCATCCGTGCGTAACGAACCGCCTCTACGGCTGGAGTGGAGACGAGGACGCACGGTTTTAGGATTTGGAAGAAGGGGGAAAAACCAGATCGTGGAGCCCCAGAACTGAGACCCCGGGACGAGTCTATGACTACATTTCGTTTGGACGGAGACGGAGGTTTGGGGGGGGGGTATTCCCTGCTCTCCGTGTCCGTGTCAGTGCGCGCACACAGTGGATAAATGACCCACAGTATGTCAACCATTGTCTAGCCCCAGGTAAAGTACTCAGTGCTGCTAACAGTGTATCTGTGAGGTGGTCTTCGCCCCCCCCCCCCGACCACCCTTCACATTTTGTCCCAGACACCATCAGCCGTTAAACGGAGGTCCTACCTGGTGATCTCGAAGCTGCAGCCTTTCCGTAGGAGAAGGGCTCTCTTCCGCATGATGCCTTTGTCCCTGCCGAGGTACACATTTTTATCTGAATTCATGGGTGCTGGACGAGCAGGTAGACCCAGGAAGACAGCCAAGACTTCCTCTCCAAGGATTTAAAAGATATATATATATAAAAAAAAATTAAATATATATAAAAAAAGATCCGAGGACTAGAGGCGGAGGAAAACGAGAGACGGGCTAGCCGAAAAGGGGAAGGAGGAAACGGACTACTTTTACGCTCGGCTCATCTCAGCGGAGCAAAGAAAAGTGATCTTGCAGACTTTTTTTTTTTGGTCCGTCGGGCTAAACAAAGACGAACTGAAGCCTTCAGAGGTACATGCTGCTGCTGCTGCTGCTGCTGCTGCTGAGGCTGCTGCTGAGGCTGAGGCTGAGGCTCGGTTGTTTCTCCATAAAGCAGCAGCAGACTGGGACACGGAGCGGGGCTGCAGCAGTTGTCAACCTGAGTCTCTGTCTGCTGCTCCACTGATACCGTGATCCTGAAGTGAGGTGGAGGAGGAAACAACACTCTGCAGCTTCAGCTTCACGTTGGCACTGAGAGGCTGCAGCAGAGAGAGAGAGAGAGAGAGATAGAGAGGAGGCAGAGAAACAGAGGGCTACAAAGAGGGGAGAGGAAGGGGAAGAGTGAGAGAGAGTGAGAGAGAGAGAGAGTGAAAACGGGAAGAAAGTGGGAGGGAGAGAGAGAAGACAGAAGAAGACGAGAGAGGGAGAGTGTTTGTTAGAGAGTGGCACACCGAAAAGAGAGGATGGGAGAAAGTGAGAGGGAGAGAAAGAGACAGAGAAGGGGTGAGGGAGAGATGATAGAGGGAAAGTGTGTGTGAGAGAGGGGGGGGGGGGTGAAGGTTTTGTACAGTAGGTTCCGAATCTCTGAAGGTCTTCTAAAGGTCAAGGATTAGCTTGTGGGTCAACCTTGTATAATAAATAAAAACATAATAGTGCTGAAGCAAATGTGTCCAAAGTCTGGCTCACGGGCCAGTTGTTGGGCTCGGAGAACTAGCCTTCGACAAGGTTAAAGAGTCTCACTTCCATTTGTTGTTTTGTAAAATCAAACTATTTTGATCTTTGGATACATATGGTCCAACCTTAATGTGATTTGATTTTATAAAAACCAACAACACGTACAGTACGCAGTACACAGTACGCAGTACGCAGTACGCAGTACGCAGTACGCAGTACGCAGTACGTACATTAGGTTGTTGCCTGTTGCTCACTGTTCTGTGTTTCACTTTTTCCATTGTGCAGGATCTGAAGTACAAATACAAGTAGAGTGAAAGTAAACTCCGACACACGTATACAAATACACAGAGCGCGACTCGTGCGTCAGCCACTGTTTAGACGAGGAATTCTCTGGCTGTGACTCAGCTACAGTCGGAGCCGTGGCCGTGTGTGAGTGATCAGTTTGATTGGCCTGAGGTTCTGACTCACGTGGACTACATCACTTCTGTTTTACCTCCAAACCCTGTGATTAAAGACGCCTTTAAATAGCTTCCCTCGCTCCAACACCACTTATCGTGTCGTTGTGTCAAAGCAGGAGAGAGTGCGTCGTCTGAGCCTAAAGTCCAACTCTTAACCATGAAACTCTTCAAGTTAACTCACACGTTCAAAAGTGACTAGTCTGTAATAAAAAAAAAAACAAGTTAACTCACACGTTCAAAAGTGACTGGTCTGTAATAAAAAAAAAACATTTATTTTTCTGACCTCCAGCCTAACAAGAGGTTTTTAATGGCGTTTCCAAAAGACGACCCTAGACGTGTTCTTTTTTTTCCCCCAGGGTCGATGAAATATAAACTCGGTCGAGGTAGATTCCTGTGATGTAGTGAGATCCTTTAATGCAGTACACATTCAGCTGTTTCTGTACAAGGATGAAAAGTATACTGAAAAACTCCCTCTGTGAGTCTGTGACCTCCAGCAGGATTTTAATAAAAACCTGAGACCAAAAGAAAATTCAGTTTTTATCCTCTGTTGTTGTGGTCTGTGTTGAGGAAATAGACAAAGCAGGAAATGATGTTTTAAGTACTCGGAGAAGTATTCTTTCTTCTGTGTTTTACTGTCTGCCACCCATGTAGTGAAGTGTCTGGTCCTCTGTTTGCGCTGGTAATCGTTCAGAGCTCTGCACTCAGTTAGGAGCAGCTTTGTCACGGCTGCATCTGGGAGTTTAACGAGAACGGTATGACCGGGAAGAAAAGAAGAACAAAATATTTGTTGATTGGACCAACAAGAAAGATTCTAAAGGCAACTGCTCAGTCCTTTAATTAAAGCAGTGGCTTTCAAAGTAGGGGGCGCCCCCCTCCAGTGAGGGCACAGTTATTGCATATTGGGGCCACAGTAGGGAAATACCACTGAATTGTCATTTTACTTCAGAACCAAAATTTTAAAAATACCTTATTGATTCCCAGGAGGAAATTACAGTTAATTGTACAAAAACATTTTGTGCTAAAATCACTTTAGCACAAAAAACAATTAGTATTATTATAATTACACGTACGAACAGCATCAAGTGTACAACAAGGTTAGCTAAAGTAATACAGAATAACTGTCAGGGTCAAGTCAGTCTAGCTAAAGTAATACAGAATAACTGTCAAGGTCAAGTCAGTCTGGTCTAAGTTAAAAAAAAAAAAAATCAGTCCAAACCAAGTGCCAAACACAGAATAAACTAAAAGATAAAAAATATCATCCACTAAGTGGCGTAAACTCAATGTTAGCATCGTTAGCTGTAAAGGGATCTTAGCATATCTTGTGCGGCCTTTAAATCTATGAACTTCATTTTCATTTTAACACAGCTGTGTTTGTAATAGTTGGTGATTATCTGGCAGATGAAAATCGTATTTTCAGCATGAATAAATATTTCTCTCTGTCTATTCTCTCACTCTGTTCAGTATTACACAGTGATGATGTAACAATGCCACACCATAATACTACACGTCCAGCTTTCTTAAGTTATGCTTGAGATTTTAGCAGTTCATCTTGACTGTACAGTTTCATGACATGCACAAGTGCTTCCATTTACTAAATGAATGCATCGATCAACCGAAGCTGTTTCAGCCCTGACAGGGAAACACACAAAAAGTGAGTGGGATGTGAGCAAGAAACATTCTGTCATCAAAGTTGATGTGTTAAAAGCAGGAAAAATACAGGGGAGTCTCAGTACTTAACAGTAAGTGTGTACTACTCGGCCAGATTTTGATGTTGGGGACGTCTGCAGTACTCTACAGGTTTTCATCAGGGGTCCAAAAGACAAGCCAGTGTAGCTCACACTGCTACGTTTGTAATATAGACTAGCGGTACACTTCGTACAAGATGTACCGTGTACCAGACTAATCGTTTTGGTACCCATATGTAACCTCATATTCTTGAAATGTATCAAGGACAACCACAGTAAATCAAACTAAATCCCAACTTTCTCTGAAACCTTCTCTCATTCAACATTCAATAGTTTCCAGCAAATTAGCTTCAGTTAGCAGTTAGCACAGATGAGCTTGGTGTGAAAAATGAAAGTGATCTCTTTCGACTACGCTGTTGGAAATCACGGGATTCAAGGCTGGTTCCAGAGAAAACACCAAAAGCAAACACGAGGCAGCGTAGCTGAGGCAGAGTCAAATTAGCAACTTAAGATTTTACTCTATTTATCTACTGCTCTATTTTTTATTTATTTTTAAATGTATTAGAAGTGAGGATTATTGGTGGCAATGTGTGCTAATTTGTGTGCTAATGTGTGCTAATATGCGTGTAATTTAATACCGAAAATGTACCAAACTGTGAAGTCAATGCCAAGGTAAGTACTGAGGTCTTACCTACAGCCCCTCCCCTCTCCCCACCTCCCCCATATGGTTTGATGTTCAAGGAAAATGTTATATTGTACCAACAGCATGCAATGAAATAAATGCAATGAAAATGGTTTATATAAAAACAGCATTCAGCAAATACAGACTTCCCATCTGGTAGAATTAGGAGGAAGACTCCTCTTCCTCGTCTCTTCATCTCCTGTCCCCACTGCCTCTAAATGGACCGATTCATTTGTGTCCTGCTGACCTGAGCAATAAAATAAGAACCAGCAGGAAACGCCAGACACCAGCAGAGCTGGGTTTATTAGTGTTCTCCACAGAAGGACTCCAGAATCCAGACTGTTGTCGCACAGAAATCCTTAGATTTTTGTTTTACATCTCGGGGACTGGTGTGGTTTTATCCACAGGGTTGTTGACGTCAGCAGTCTACAGACTGTATGTGTAAACTGTCATTGTTAAAGCTACAGTTTTAATGAACCCCCATAGACAAGGTTATCTCGTTAGCACTGACTGTTTGATAATCCGAAAAACTCCAGTCGACGTGACGTCTATCACCACAGAACAGCAGATGGCACCAGAAAAACATCTTGCCACCTGAGCATCCAACATTGTCAATATAGCTTTTTAGTAGGGATATTATCAGCCCAACATTAGAATATTATATAATATCTGTATGAATTGTTATTGGTTTTTCCTCCGATAGTGAAAACCCAATAAGGCAATGGTCCAATATTGTCCA